TTGGGAAGTGCGACCTCTATCTTTACCTTCCTAGGGAGTTGCCTTTCTGCAAAGAAGTAAAATTAGGGGGAGATGTAGAAGGCCGCAACCATACTCTCCACCATAGATGGCGCTGCACCGCCAGGTGAGCTAGAAAGCTCACACGTGTTGGTATTTTTCCACTACTCCCAAGGTATCACCTGGGACTGGGAGCAGTTGACCAATCAAAGAATGACACGTCCAAAGCAGGGTCTGTTTCCTATATAAGGGATGGGTTCCATCTTATCTGGGTCTCCGCCATGTGGCTTATGCTCTAGCTCCCAAGAGACATAAAGCTTTACTGCAGAAGGATCCTATGTGTACCGCGTGGTTCTTGCTGGCGAGACAGAAGCGCGGGACACTTCTTCAGTGGTCTGGACAGGAATGGCGGAGGGAGCTTCTCCTCCCTAGCCTTCTCCTATTCTCATTGTCCCGCCTCTACTTCCTGTCTGGTTGACCCCCCTATACTTCCTGCCCGGCCAATCAGCGTTTTATTAAAATACATGATTGACAGAATACAGACAATTATCCCGTAGCACAGATACAGTTATTGGCTATTCAAACTTTGCTTTGGGCCCGAACCGTTCCCATTTATGTAGGGCATTTGTGGGCTCATACTGACCTCCCTGGTCCCTTGAACGAGGGGAATGCATTGACTGATCAGCTTACCCGCCAAATTTGTGCAGTGATTCAAGAATCTTACCAAGCTGTAGAAAAAGCTCATAATCATTTTCATCTCAATGCTGGGTCTTTAAGATTTCATTTTAAGATTTCTCGAAAGCAGGCCACTGATATTGTTAAAAAAAATGCTCTCTCTGTGTACAGAACTTTTAACTGTTCCCCATTTGGGAGTTAATCCTCGTGGGCTTGCTCCTAATAATTTATGGAAATGGATGTTACCCATGTTCCTTCTTTCGGGTGCATGCAATATGTTCATGTAACCGTGGATACAAATTCTCATCTTATTTTTGCCTCAGCTCAGACAGAAGAAAAATTATGGGATGTTAGAAGTCACTGCCTACAGACTTTTGCCTACATGGGAGTTCTAAAAACTGTAAAAATTGATAATGGGCCAACCTACACCAGCACTGGCTTTGCTAATTTTTGCTCTGAGTTCTCCATTTCTTATAAAACGGGAATACCCTATAATCCTCAAGGACAAGCTATAGTGGAGCAAGCACATCGTATGCTCAAAGCCTATTTGCATAAAACAAAAAAGGGGGAATAAGGTTCCACCCCCAGAGACCATTTGTCTTTTATTTTATACATTTTCAATTTTTTGACTGTTGGTGCTCAATCTCGTACCACTGTTGACCGGCATTAGCAGCCATTTTCTTCCAGGATACCTCATGTCAAATGGAAGAATATAGCAGATGGCATCTGGCATGGTCCAGATCCTATACTGGCGTGGGGAGAGGGGTTGTTTGTGTTTTCCTGCAGGATGCTGACAGTTGAATATGGGTACCTGAGCGCCTGGTGCATGCTGTGGATTTTCCTGTCCAGAAGCCTGAAGACAGTATAGAGCCAATAGATCAAACAGATACTGGCTGGTCAACTGAAGAGTTGCTGGGATCCTGAGGTGCTGGCTGTGGTGAGTCGAGTGCCAAGGATTGTTCCTCTACCTATCAACCCATCCCATGATAATGGCAGCTATTGTTGTGACTGCTGGAGTGGCTAGAGCTGCTGGATTTTTCATTAGTCAGTTAGATGCTTCTGCTAGCACAATGGATGCCTTCTCAGCGCAGGTTGCAAACGCCTTGACCATTCGAATTGAGCTAAATTTACAAATGAATTTTGCAGTTAATTTTGTAATTGGTTGTGGTTAAAGACCTCTGCTAGGTTACAGTAAAAGGCTTATTGCTGTTATTCACAGACCCTGAAATGCACTATTTAGAAACTGGCTCATGAGAATATTCTAGTTTACTATACCAGGCTTCCTCCCACCAGCACTGAGACCTTACTTAAAGGGCTCCGTTTTGTGGGCAGACTTGTTAAGGATTGAGCAAGCACAGCCTCCTTAAAGAGTGCTTATATGTGCTGGAGCATCATATTCATGGTTTCATGGTGCCAGAGCCAGAGACTAGCTCAGGTCAATGTCACTGCTTGGTGAGTTCTCTTAGCTATTTCCCTGGAGGATCTTTCAGGATGATGGGTGACTAGTGAGCCAATGATGGGAAAGGTTTTTGGGGGGCTGCCCCAACCTAAGACAAGAAATGTGTTTTGACCTGGATGCTTTCCCGTGATGGGTAAGAGGTATTGCCTGACGTCCAATACCACCTAAAACAGACCTAGTCATATAATTGATATAAAAGGGGGACATTTAAGGCCCAGGTCTACCCCTGATTCTGGGGTTCATCTTAAAGACAGTTTCTGGTCAGCCAGCTAAAACATTCTGTTAGTTTTTGTGCTCCTTCTGCCCTGCTTGGTGATTAGCTGTAGGTCATTGTTTACTCCATCTTGGGTGTGGCAATTTCCCACCTGCCTGGGGGGAATTCCATGAGCAGCAGCTAGGTTTTTAAGGATTTCCCCAAGGTTGAATAAATGGCATTTGACTGATCTCCTTTCCAATGACCCAGGTCTCTTGTATGTTCTTTCAATCTCCAGGCCCTTGTCCAGCTCACGCATGGTAGTGGCACACGAACTGTACCAAGAGGGTAACACAGAATCGGGTGATACAATGAAGAATGCCCATCTAACTGAAATATATCTCTATATATCGAGAAAATCTAACTAACATGACTACAAGCTTGACTATTATCGATGATTATCCATTAACAACCTATATTTCCTAATTATACATTACTTTTTTAAAAAAATATTTATTTATTTATTTATTATATATACAATATTCTGTCTGTGTGTATGCCTGCAAGCCAGAAGAGGGTACCAGACCCCATTACAGATGGTTGTGAGTCACCATGTGGTTGCTGGGAATTGAACTCAGGACCTTTGGAAGAGCAGGCAATGCTCTTAAACTCTGAGCCATCTCTCCAGCCCCTACATTACATTTTTAAATGAACTACACAACCACAATACCTTAAACAAGATCTGAAATACATATATATATATAACAAAATTGACCTTAAACTTATATCAATAAATCAAGATTTATACCAATGCAAATTATTTATATCTATATCAAATTGGTGCTGTCAGAAGCATCTGTGACTCAATGTTATGAAAAACCTTTGGGTTTTTTTGCTTGTTTTCCTTTATTTTTTCAGTTTTTGAGACAGGGTTTCTCTGTAGCTTTCGGAGCTTATCCTGTAACTCACTTTGTAGACAAGGCTGGCTTCAAACTCTACAAGAGTAGAAACATATATACAATATAGTAAAATAACTTTAAATTTATATCAATATACCAAAATCCTTGCCAATGCAATAGGCATGGATTTTGGTATATTGATATACCAAATTAATTAATAGTTGTCTTTTATCCTATATTCCCTTAAATGATTACGTTACAAACATCCATAACTTACTAAATAGCCAAGAGTCATCCCTCCCATCTCTTGGGAACGTGGGCATCATCTTCTCTAGGCTGCTTTTTGTTGTCTGTAGCTGAAGGCAGCTTTAGGGGTCCCTGAGAAAATTGAGATAATGCTCAGGTTCTAGGAAGACTAGTTGTAACCACCTTTGCTGATATATACCACCTGCCAAGTTTTAGGAGGTCTCCCTTAATCAAACCTGATTCATATCAATCTGGAACAAATCCACAACCACTTGTTTCCTTTGGAAATTAAAAAAAAAAAAAACTCCTTCCCCAAAGCAACATATTTTTTATTTCTTCTTTAAAGATACCCCTAAAGTATTTAGGTTCATTCTGTTGTCCTCTTTAAATTGTTACTGCCTTTTTATCCACAGCTGTCCTATCAGCAACTGCAACTCTGCCACTACCTGCAGCAGTTAGACCACGAGAACCACAGCCTGAGGGAATTCTGTTCTTGCAGGTGCAGGTGTAGACTAGTCAAAACTACAAAGAACTTAATCTCTGTCCCTCCAAAGAACCCAAGATTCAAAGGTTGAAGTGGAACTCTGTCCCTCTGAGAGGCTCACTAGCAAGTAGCTCACGCCCATTCCTGGTGTCTCTCCAGAAGCCCTCATGCTTCTGGGCCTCTTTAAAAACCCATCTCCACCTGGCTCCTCCTACCACTTCCTGTCAGCTAGTTGCTGACTCAGCTTACAAACAGCAGTTGAATTTTATTTATTACTTTTTGTTTGTTTGTTTGTTTGTTTTGAGACAGGGTTTCTCTGTAGCTTTCAGGCCTGTCCTGTGACTAGCCCTTGTAGATCAGGCTGGCCTTGAACTCAAACTCACAGAGATTTGCCTGCCTCTGCCTGTGCTAGGATTAAAGGCATATGCTACCACCGCCTGGTTCTTTATTTATTACTTTTTTAAAAAAATTATTCTTGTATTTATTATGTATACAGTGTTCTGCCTGCATATGGATGACTGTGAGCCTCCATGTGGTTGCTAGAAATTGAACTCAGGAGCTGCCAGTGCTCTTAACCTCTAAGCTATCTCTCCAGCCCCTCTGAACCATCTCTCCAGCCTGTGGACAAAGAACCAGTCCTCTTAACTGCTGAACCATCTCTCCAGCCCCATTTTTTTAAACTTTATTTTATGGCATTTGGTGTAAAGGTGTCAGATTCCCTGGAACTGGAGTTACAGACAGTTGTGAACTGCTGTGTAGGTGCTGGGAATTGAACCTTCATCTTCTGGGAGAGAAACCAATACTTTTAATCACTGAACCATCTTTCCAGTCCCAAATTTTATTTACTCAAACACATCTTTGCATCATCAAACAAAAGTTCCAGAGCATTAAAACAAATAGTGTTGACCCTAGAGTCCAATCACCAAGGAGGAATCGTCCCAAGAGACCATCTCTCACACCACAGCTGATGTAAAAGCATGAGGATTTTTATTAATTCTGTCATGACAGGGTCTTTCAGCATTATAGAGGCCAGAAAGACCCCGAATAGCTGGTACAGTCTACTTTTAAAGGAAAAAGCCACATAAGCAAGGTGGGTGTCTGGGGGTTGTTCTTTGACTGTTATAACTGGCTTATTTAAAAGGGCTATTATGAATAATTGGCTGGAGAGCAGTTGCCAGATCAGATGAGGTAAAAGGAAACATCTGAAGGTCACTTTGACCCCTTTCCCAGGGACTGAATCAAAAGGAACTGAGTCAACATCTTAAAGGTTATCTTGCCCCAGTTTCTGGAGAACATTCACAAAGACTCGGGAATGGAAAGTTCCCAACATTTCAGTACGTGTATGGGTAATTGTTAGATTCCTGGTTCCCAGGGCAGAGGGGAGCACTACTGCTGAGAGGCCTCAGAATGGTCAGAAATGGCTTTAGAGTTATTTTAGAGTTCTACAGTAGATGCTCAGTATATTGAAGAATCAACCAGCCATTGGAATTCTCCTGTATTTGTTACTAAAAAGATATCTGAGAAATGGAGAATGGTAACAGAGCTAAGAGCTATTAACAAAATGATTCAGCCAATGGGCTCTCTTCAGTCTGGAATTCTTTTGCCTTCTCTATTGCCTAAAGGATGACCTCTTATAGCCATTGATTTAGAGGAGTGTTTCTTCAGTAAACCTTTACAAGAAAAAGACAGAGAAAAATTTGCCTTCACAGTTCCTACTTAAGGATTCCCAGCCTGTTGAGAGATATCAATGGAAGATTCTCCCACAGGGAATTTTAAATAGCCCCACTCTTTGCTAATATTTTGTACAGTAGCCATAGGAAACAATATTCAAGCAGTTTCCTCAATCTATACTTTAGCATTACATGGATGACATTGGCTGATTCAAATATAAATAATTTAGAGAGGATGTTTGAAGAAGTAAAGAAATGATGTGTTGAGGATTACAAATTTTCCTGGAAAAAAAAAAGAAAGAGGACATTCTAGTAATTGTTTAGGCTATAAAATATGTTTACAAAGATTAGATCCCAAAAGGTACAAATCAGGAGAGATCAATTACAGATCTCTTAATGACTTTCAAAGATTGCTAGGAGACATTTCCTATTCTATTTATGGAACACCACTGGGGTAAGTCCTGATGAACTGAGTAATTTGGTCAAAATCTCAGACGGTGACAAGAACTTAAATAGTCCAAGAGAATTATCAGATGAAGCTGAGAGAGAATTGGCTTTGGTGGAAGAGAAAGTACAGAATGCATATCTGGATCGTGTGGGTCTGAAGCTTAACTGTCTTCGTCATGTTACCCTCCAAACATTCCCCTACAGAAATTTTAATGCAGAGGGAAGATGTTTTCTTAGAAAAGATCTTTATACCACATGAACAGCATAAAAAATTAAAATTATGTGGAAAAGCTCTCTGAGTTAATTCTGAAAGGAAAATTAAGACTTTGTCAATTAGAAGGAATAGGCTCAGCAGAGATTATAGTATCTTTTAATAATGATGAAATTGACAAATTATGGGCAGGAAGCAAACCCCAGTAATAGCTTGCAGTAATTTTTTGGAAGAGATTAACAACAAATATCCCCAAAGTAAGAGAATTTAAATTATAAAGAGAACTAACTAGGTCCATCATCGCATTGTACAGGACACACCAATACCTGGAGCCCCTTCATTCTATAGTGATGCAAATAAAATCAAGAAAGGAAGGTTACTTACCAGAAAATTTAAATGGATCTAAGCCCTTGGGATTCTGTCTGCATGACACATTTGTCCCTCACCACCTGTGGTTTGGATCCAACCTGCCAAGGTCCATCTCCTGCTGGATCATAATAGATACCTGCTTAGGGTTTTCTTTTGTCTGAACCTCTTTTACCTCATATTTCTAGTCCTTTTTGTCTACAAGAGGCTTTAAACTGCTAAGCAGTGCGGCTAGGACCTCTGCAGCAGCTTTGGTGGGTGGCTCTGCAGCATCTCAGATCATGAATGCCAAGCTTAAGCCCGTAGGCCTGGTCCAGAGATTCGTTTGACCTGGAGCCACATTCAGCCTTTCAGCTCTGGAATGCCAGTGCCCTGTACTGTGGCAGATATTTTTCACTGAGTTTTTTGTTTCTATCTGATGGGAAAAATCTGTTTAAGTGCTCTGCTATACAGCAAAATTTCTTTCTTTTCTTTATTTTTATTTTTTTATTTTATTTTTTTTCCAGACAGAGTTTTTCTGTAGCTTTGGAGCCTATCCTAATACTAGCTCTTGTAGACCAGGCAGGCCTCACAGAGATCCACCTGCCTCTGCCTCCTGAGTGCTGGGATTAGAGGTGCGTGTGTGCCACCACCACTGGGCACAGCAGAGTTTCTTAAAGGCATCATAACTTGTTTTTGCTTTCAACTTTCTCAGGCCCTACATGAAAAAAATGGGCCCATTTTGGAACACCAAAACATTGTTGATTTTATTTATTTATTTATTTATTTTTACTCTTTGCTCTTTCGGGGTCTGTCTCCCAGCTCCCAAATAAATACATGGAGACTTATTTTTACTTGTGAATGTCTGGCCTTAGCATGGTTTGTTACTATTCAGGCTCTCTTGACTTGAATTTTGAATTATCCTATCTAGAGAAACCTCAATTCCTTTCGCTGATTCTTGTTGTTGTAAAAGTCTGGCCTCTTGCTTGAATAGGCATTTGAAATGCCATAAAGGTCCGTTCTCCAGGACAGCAGAGGTCAGCTGATTCCAATCTTGAGGGGTTGCCCTGTTGCTGAGAGCCCAGGATTTTAACATCTCTCTAACAAAGGACGAATGTAGTCTATAATTCATAATTGGACATTATCGCCTTCATTGATAATTTTAACACGTAGAGCTTGTCCGTTAGAGATACCATATCCTCCTTGGACAGAATCCTCATGGCATGTACTGTGCCTTCTTGTATGGAAATCCTGTCAATTAATCTATCATACCCTTTTGATAAAGTCCAATTTTTATATTCAATGGTTTTAATCCTCTCAGCTAATGTTTCAGCATTTACAGTCATGAACTGGAGGTTATGAGTCATTTTGGTTGTCCCCTCCTTGAGAGCAGTGAAGTTCCCTTCTAAAGAAGCAATATCAGACTGTACCTTCTTGATATTTTGGTCAGTCGACCAAGTCATATCAGACAAAGATCTAGTCTCTTTCTTGAAAACTCCAAACTCTTTTTTGAGGAGGTTGGTGTCAGTCTGAATTGTCCTTAAGGTTTTAATCTCTGCCCTCAGCATTGCTGATTCAATCTTGAAGGACTGCATCGTTCTTATAACATATCCAAACACCAGAAAAGCGACAAGTCCCAGAAATAACCAAGTAAGAGGAATATCAGAAACCTCATGGAGGATATCCTCCATGGCACAATTAAAAAGGTCATTGAATTTTTGGATAGTAATATTTTTTGACATGTTCAATCAAAAGAAATTGTATTTATTTATTTGTTTTCAACTGAAAAGAAAAATCTTACCTGTAATGACCCTTGTCTGCCAGTAAGCTGCGGGGGCACACCTGAATCCATGTGGCAATGGCGCCGACCCGGAAAGCAAATTCTAAAATATAGATTCTCAAATCCAGAGGTTAAATTTATAGATCGAGTGCTGGGGGAAGACAGTGCCCAATGGGGGTAGCAAAAGCCAAGGAAGTTAGTTGCGCGGTCCTGCAAATGTGGCTAGGAACTGGCTAGACCTCAGGTGCGGTGTGCGCTCAGGCCGCTAGGCCCGCGCCACGTTGGGCGCCAGATGAAGCTGCAGGGCGATTGGTAAAGAAAAGTCCCCAGACTATCTTGATACAAAATATACAGCTTTAATAAACAGAAGTAAGACTTACAACAGCTTATACCAGAATCCAACCGATCCGTCTGGACGCAGGAGCCAGGCGAAAAGAGAGCTAGCGAGCGTGCTTACTAGGTTTATAGTCAGGCTTTTGCCTGAGGGCAGCATGCCCCGAAAACAGAATATGATTGGCTGAACTCCCCTATCACTTGTTTCCTAACTGCCCACAAACTTGTAGCAATCCTCCCAGTTCATGAACCTAGCATCACCAGTGCTGTGATTATTGGCATGTGCCACCACAATCAGCTCAGAATCCACTTTTCCCCAAATTACCCTTCATACCAATGGGACTGCGATCTTCCTCATGTATACACCTCATCATGTACCTTCCTCAGTTGAAGCTTGCTTCTCAGTGCTTAAGAAGACAAAGTTGGGGCTGGAGAAATAGTTCAGAGGTTAAGCGCACAGGCTGCTCTTCCAGTAGGTCCTGAGTTCAATTCCCAGCAACTACATGATGCCTCACAACCATCTGTAATGAGATTGGGTGCCCTCTTCTGACCTGAAGGCATTCATGCAGGCAGAATACTGTATACATAATAAATAAATCTTGGGAAAAATAAGAAGGCAAAGTCAGCCCTCACAGTTCTATCGCACATCTTCAAGAGTCTTTCTTTTTTTCTTTCTTTCTTGAGACAGGGTCTCTGTGTTGCTTTGGAGTCTTTCCTGGAACTAGCTCTTGTAGACAAGGATGGCCTCGAACTCACAGAGATCTACCTGCCTCTGCCTACTGAGTGCTAGGGTTAAAAGCATGCACCACTACTGCCCGACTAAAATAATTTATTTTACATACATTGGTATTTTGCCTGCATGTATCTCTGTGTGAGGGTGTCATATCTTGGAGTTACAGATAGTTGTTAGCTGCCATGTGGGTGCTAGGTATTGAACCCAAGTCCTCTGGAAGAGCAGTCGGTACTCTTAACAACTGAGCCATCTCTCCAGCCCTAAGGGTCTTTCACTGAGTGTTCTTTCTCACGGTCAGTGCCTCTGTTTCAGGTATGTCTCTCGAGTTCCCTGTCCTTTCTGACTACATTCTATTCACTCCCCACCCACCCCACCTCTCTTTCAGGGTTTCTCGGTGTAACCCTGGCTGTTCTGGAACTCGCTCTGTATACCAGGCTGGCCTCAAATTCAAGAGATCTTCCTGCTTCTGCCTCTGGGATTAAAGGTAGGCGACACCACTACCAAGGCTACCCATACTCATTTTTGAAAGGTGGAAAAACTCATCAAACTTGGTCACTTAGAGCGCCAAGATCATAGAGGATGATGTTCACGTTCCCAATACAGCCAGTCACACAGTTAATAATTCAAACTCAGCCTTCATGTAGAACATTCATTCATCAAATATCTACTGAGCCCGTGAAGACTAAACGTCCTGTTCCCCACGCCGAGGATACATCTATGAATAAAAGCACCAGGTTGTGGCGAAAGCTGCAAAGAAACCATCGGGTTGGTGTGTGATTGGCGGTTCAGTCAGGGACGGTTTTCTGGAATACTTTGAAGTGACGAATTTGAGAACGCCTTGCCTCGCGTGCGAATATCAAAAGGGAAGATAATCTCGAGGTCACGGAGCAGCAGGCAACAGGCCGAGGAGGCAGAAACCAGCTGAGGTGGCTCGAGAGACATTAATGAGCGCTTGGAGGTGTGTGAAGCCGAAGCTCTGAGCTAGACTGGGGCAAGGTTTCCAAGGCCGACGCGGCCCCGGGTGTAGCAGGGCTGTGGGGACTGCATACTAACTGCACACCCGAGACGGCTTCCTCTAGGAGTGACACAGGATCTCCTCGGGGCTGTTGACCGCTTAACGATCGGACGCAGGAAGCCCGGGAGAGTCAGATGCAGAGCTCACGAAGAGCTGTGACTGGAACTCAGTCCCGAAAGGCGGGCGGAAGAGGCAGGTAGCGCCTCTTGTTGTGTGGGGGGGACTAACGGCGTGCTGCGCATGCGTACGTCTGCTCTTCCAGCTAGTCCGTTAGGGCTCCCGTGTCTAGAAGGGGCGTGACTGGGCTTCGACGCCGGAAGGGGGTTGGTTGGGCGGGGCTAGGAGGAGGAGGTGGCATCTGCGCGCGCGCGCGCGCGGGTGCGAACGGGAAACGCCGCGAGGGCCAGGCAGGGCGGTGGAGACGACGGACGGTGACCATGGCCGCGGC